CACACACACACACACACACACACACACACACACACACACACACACACACACACACCACACGTGCACACAGAGACACACACACACACGCACAGAAATAGACAACGGATGAACACACCCATTGAACTCTGCTGTTAGAGGCATCCTGTAATGCAAAATGTCTCCATTCATGAACAAGATCGGCAGGAAGGGGGGGAAGGGGGAAGGGGGAAGAAAGAAAAGGAGTGGTCAGACAATCCAAAAAAAAAGGACTTCAAGTTTTCCTGCCAGTCCAACCAGGTTCTGCTGTGACTCGTCAATAGTTTTTCCACTCTCATGAATCTTACGCCGTACGCACAACGGGACATCCCTTTCCCTCCAGAAAATCCCAATGTGGACAAGGACCCACTCCCAGTGCGGCATTCACTGCTATGGACGGGGATGCGGAGGGGGAAAGCGACTACCTGTTGTGTTTTGTGTTGGTGGGGATGGGTGGGGTGTCAAAAAGGGTGACGGGGGGAGGGGGAAGGGGGGAAGGGGGGAAGTGGGGAACGTGGAGGAGGAAAGAATTCACATGCGTGTTGGGGGCAAGGAAAGAACACAAACGCACTTCTCGGTTGTTCCTCACAGGGAGGGAGCAAACCAAGTGGGCCCTTCTCGTTCATTCCTACCTGAGAGGAATAGGTGGGGAGGGGGAGGGGGAGTGGGAGGAGGAGGGGGAGGGGGACGGGTGGGTGGGAGCGTGGAGAGGGGAGATGGTGCTCGAACACTTCATCATCCAGACTGAGTGATTGATGCCACAGATGTCAACAGCTTCTCTGAACGTACCATTCGATAAGGGAAGATGCGGGGCCAGTCTGAATCCCTTTCCGCGAAGAAGGTTGTCCAAGCTCTGGTGGAAGCTTCCATGGACTGGTTTCAACAATGTTTCCAACTTTTGAAGCCAACTCCATCTGCCGGACGACCGTGGGCGCATCTTTTCCAGATGTTCTGTTCGTATCATACCCCTGATCACAACCAATCAACAGCTCACAGCTAGGATTCAGTTTAAGTGGATAAGCCTACCTTCTTCACCCGAATAGAACACCGGGTCATTGTGACCGTATTCGGATTTATTTGCACACTAGATACAGCATCTATTGGGGTGAAGATGATAGAATCAACGGTAGACAGCTAGGATCAAGTTTTAAGTGGACAAGGCTAGAATCACCGGTTGAGAGCTAGGATGAGATAAATAAGCTTAGGCATGTGTGCACACGTAGCATGTAAGCCACAGAGCGAGTGAACAAACCCCACCAAGAGAACAGATGAGCAGTACATTTCTCGAAAACAAACAAGCAAGAACAAAAGTCATTATAGTTCGACACCATCCTTCGCGTCGGAAAACAGCCGTTCCATCCATCAAGGAAGTTCTTGAAAAACAGCAATCTATTGATTCTACTTTATTTTATATTTTTGAAAATTTTTGGACCGTTTCTCAATTTATGTGTGTCATCCTTGAGCGCTGGCGCCATGCTAATCTTCTCTGTATCGCTCCAATCCTAACGGATGTCCCGACCAGCAATCTCCTTTTTTAAGTTTTTTTGCCGTATCACATTGGATAAAAATGCGCATCCACATTGCAAACCGGATAAGATACTGCGAGGCTAAAGCCCCGATGTGCCCCTTTCAGGCCCTGCCAAGCAGCACGTCAGCCGCCCTAAGTGAAGGCACGCTCGACAAGGGCCTGAGGGCCCTGAATTTTGGCCACCACGCAACTAAGGAAACTCAGGCAGTTGCGCAGCGCCAGTTGGTTGAGTGAACCCAGGCCCTGGGTCGCCTTTTTGCATGAATCAAAGGCCCCTGGGATGGATACGGGAGGTGGGCCAGACACAGGCCGATGACAGTTGGGTGCAAGCAACCACCACAGGCCCAGGGCCTGAGCTGTTTGGACTGGGCCTCAGCCTACCGGGCCCTACCGGAAGCTTCTTGGGAAAGGCCCAGCGCAGCCTGGGACAGAACGCAGGCAGGCCACTTCCATATAGCAAAGGGCCTGCCTCCGCATACGGCATTTGGGCACTGACTGCTTTGTGCGCAATCGCTGCTGCGCTGAACCTGGCCAGCGCTCACACGCTCACGGGTTAGCTGGAAGGAGCAGGCAGCCATACCCAAGCTGCGCTGCTGTAGACTGGGTGTGGCACTGGTTGGTCCTTGGACGCAAGTGGCATCTGTGAGCTGGGGAACAACGTTGTGAGTGATACGAGAGACATACCTGGTGCTAGAGGCGACGACATTGTCCGAGATCTGCTCGTACTTCGGTGAAGCTGTTGACGTCATCCGGCGGCATTGTAGATTAGGCTAGATAGGATCTGCCATCTGTAGTCTGGGCACCGAGCGCCAGATAGTATATCAACATTGGTTCTTCGTTGATGATGATGATGCGACTATTGCATTTTTGATTATGAGCTCTTGGTGTGTTCTTATTTGGTGAAACTCGTGATGCAATTCTGCTGTTGGTTCGAGGTCACGACTATCTGGTCTTATGTGTATGATGCTGTTTGATTTCTGAAGTTCGCTATTGCTCATCTTCCTTGCAATACATTCTGAACAATCTATATCTACGATCATTCTCTGTTCACAGAACAACACAAAAAAAAGAATACCTTCGCTGTCAGAAAACCATAAGCACGTCGTCAAATCTTCTTCTTCTTCTTCTTCTTCTTCTTCTTCTTCTGCTTCTTCTTCTTTTTTTTTTTTTTTTAAGACCAAAACAGACTCCGTTGAGTCCATTGAGCTGCCATTGCAAGCTGTCCCTCCATCAATTTACTAAATGTACTGTTCGAACGACGAGGATTTTACCCCTCGGTATACCGGCATAAAGCCCTGCAGCAGGCACATGCCCGCCTTGCTCATGAGCCCCCTGAATCTCAATGAGCCCTGGACTCGTCAATTTTTACAAATCTTGGTGGGCGCCAGACAGTTGCCATGAGCCAGTTGGTTACATCCGCCTTGCTCGTGAGAATTGGACATACTCATGAGCCTTCCAGGCTCTTCCAACAACGTGGTCGAAGCAGGGAGCACCGCGTGTTTGTGCCTGGGCGATTGGGCATGCCTAACCAATTCGGTCCCAGGCCACTGTCTGAATGGGCCTGGGCGCAGACACTTCGGCCCGACATGAAGCTAGAGGGCACATTCGCGTCCCGGCCCAGCTGCGAACTGGGCGAGCGCTTTCCATATAGGAAAGAGCTAGCCAGGAAGAAGGCATTCGGGTACTCGGTACAGCGAGCAGCAGCGCTGCTGGAGCATGCACTTGCGTGCTGCTGGTACCTGCTGGTAGCTGGTAGCTGCTGGTACCTGCTAGCGCACGTGCCCACGCGCGTGTGCGGACGTGCAGGGTGCAGGGTGCTGCTGAGGGCAGCGCCATAGCCAGCCCCTCATACGCGGGCTTGACTTGGACATAACCACTGGAGGTGGTGGTGGTCTTCGTGTATGGGAAGGAAGACATGGGTAGAGAAGACGAGACACAGAGAGAGAGAGAGAGAGAGAGAGAGAGAGAGAGAGAGAGAGAGAGAGAGAGAGAGAGAGAGAGAGAGAGAGATGAGGATGATGTAAGGGCACATACCCAGTCTTGGCAATGGTCTACATGGTCGACATCTTCACGTACTTCGGTTGTTGCTGACGTAAACAGGTTGCATTGTCAATGTAGGCTGGTAGTAGCGTGTGATCGTACTCTGGGCGCTGAGCGCCAAGTAGGAGGAAGGGCTCTGGATACTATGTTGGTAGTGGCGAGAGTATGCTTTCATTGACATTTGGATTTGGTGCTTTGGTTCTCCGTTGGTGGAACATCAGTGCATTTCTGCTTTCTGGACAGCGTTGGACTTTCTGGCTTTCAATGTGACTTTGCATTCTGGATTGCTGTCATTTCACTATCGCTCATTTTCCTTGCAGAACCTTTATTAAAAAACAAAAAAAAAACTGACTAAGCACTTTGTGAGCAACAAGCCCTCAAGTAACCCTATCAGACATCACATTGTTCTGGGCCAAGGCCCCAGCAAGCCAAGTGCCCGCCCTAAGTGAAGGCGGGCCTGAATATTCGTCACAGGCCAAATTCGACAATTCCATATGTGGGTATTCAGGCTCTTGCAGCGCATCAGTCGGTTGAGTGAACGCGCGAGCCTCACTAAGCTGCGCCATACAGTTGGCCCAGGCCACGAAAGTTGTGCCTGGGCACCTACACACAAAGCAGGCCCGATACATTGAGAAGCTCGCCGTCGGCCTCTGGAAAAGCAGTACAGCCGGCGCACATACCTGGGTCCCTGCGCAGATGCAGCTAACAGCCCAAGTCCGGAGACTCAGGCCGTGACCAACTGTAAAGGGCCCAGGCCCTCAACTGTAAGTCTCGGCCTGGGCACAGGGTCTGAGGCCCAACCGGAAGCTAATGGAAGCTTCCAGCCAGGCCACACGCAGCATGCAGCAGGCTTCCACTTCCATAAAGGAAGTGAGGCAGCCCGGGCCAGGCATTCTGGCCAGTGCTGGCATTGGGAAAGTGCTGCTGCGCTATTCCCTTGATGTTGCGCTGCTGCCAAGGGCGTTGACGGAGCGCGAGAGGTGAGGTGGGGCGCTGCAGGGCAGCGGGGCGAAGGCGGCCATAGCCGGGCTGCTGGGCGCCAGGGGGTACAGCGGATGATCGGGTGGTCTTCAGGGAGTGAGGCGCTGTGTGGGATAATCAAGGTCTGATTGAGGGTGACGAGATACGTACCTGGTACATGAAGAGAGGTCGCCGATGGTGTTGACAGCCATGTACATTGGTCTTCGTGAGCCGAAGTGATCCTGTTGTGTGAACCAGCTGTAGAGTAGGATAGTATGGTAGAGTAGGCTGGGCGCTGTGCGCCAGACAGAGAAAGCGACTCTGGATACTGTGTTGGTGTGGCCTACGGGCTTGGACATTGGCTCAATACTTCATTGCATTGCTCTTTATGGATGGTTTTTTCGGTGCATTTGTACTCTCTACTTGGGATACTACTACTTGCTCAGTTGTGTGATTTCGCAACTTGGTTTTATGTATATTGCTCACTCTCATATTCCTTGCAACTTCGTCACCCCAAGCTAATTTCGTTGTCATGTGGTAATGACTTTTTTACTTCTTTTATCTTTTCATTTTAGAGAACGAGGTGTTTTTTTTTTCTTTGCATTTTACTACGGTTTTTGAGAACGAGTTTTTTTAGCTTCTTTTTTAACTTTTTCTTTGCACGTTAGAGGTATCTAAGTGAGACAGCTGAGGAGAGCAAGACGTAATTTTTTTATCAACCATCAGGGGTACAGGTACCTGGCTGTTATCCTATAAGCTGGTACATTGAATTTCACGATAAGAAAAACCTGGTGTCACTCACCCCAAGACTACCGGTAGGCTAGGGTTGTCGCCCACAGATCCCCGGGGCCCAAGTCGGGGTGGGGCTTTC